AAGCTCCTGAAGGACATCATGCAAGGGAGTACTCGTGCACTCCAGCTCTTTGTGACACCCATGATCTCTAAAAACATGGACAGGGCTTGGGGGGACCCCGAGCCCCCAGTGAAGCTGTTTGGGGGAACCCCCTAAACACCTCGTGAAGCTACTCAGAAGGACACTTAGCCCACCTGACCACACCACTGAGGGCACAGGCACATCCCGCCCTGCCACATCCAGCCTGTTTGGGATGAGGATTCAAGGGAACAGCTTAGACCCCAAAGCAACACGGCAGCTCAGGTGCAGTGGAGGAAAGCAGCCCCTGCCAGCCCTTCCCAGGCAGAACTGGCATGGAAGCCCCATCCAGCCCCACTGCCAGGCAGATCCAAGGAGCTGCAGCAGCTGTTTTGCTCCGGAGAAAGCTCCGGCTCCTTTTACAATCAATCAGCCACCCCATCACGGCTCTTTTTTTCTTTTAAAGGAAGCAGTTAAATCCATTTTATGGAATCCAGCGGTATTTACCCTGCTACTGCAAGAGCCGCAGCCCTGCCTTCCCTTTTTTTTAATTTAAGTTAATGAAGTCATTCCCAAACGACCCGCAAGGAGCCCTGGGTGCTCCTTTCCCCCGGCACAGGCAGAGGGAGAACGCCTCCGGTGAAACGTGGGCTGGGCACGGGGGTTCTGCCTTGTGGGGAGCAGGAGCTGGGAGGGCTCCCAAAGGCCTGGCACCCAGCAAAGGGTTCCCCCCCTTCCAAAGGGAAACTCCAACTGGAAAGCAAGCTGTCCAGGCTTGCTTTGCCCAAGCCAGCCATCGGAGATGAAGCAAAGCCCTGGAAAGGCCAGGGTGCACATAGGGACCATGGGATTCTTGATGGGAAAACAGAATCAAAAATCCTGGAATGGTTTGGGAGGGGACCTTAAAGCCCATCCAGGCCCACTCCCTGCCACGGGCAGCAACACCTTCCACTAGCCCAGGTTGGTCCAAGCCCCATCCAAGCTGGCCTTGGACATTTCCAGGGCTGGGGCAGCCACCACTGCTTCTCTGGGCAACCTGCGCCAGGGCCTCCCCACCCTCACAGCCAAGCATTTCTTCCCAATATCCAACCTAAACTTCCCATCTTTTTAGTTTAAAATCGTTCTCCACCTCTCAGCCTCAGGAAGGGGGAGTGTCCACAAGTCAGAAACGACTTTTAATTAAAAATAAGCAGCGAGTTTTCCCTATTGCCTAAATCCTGACATTGCGAAGCGCCTCCCGCGCCCACGGCTCCCGTAATTCCATTCCATCTGCTCTGACAAGTGCGAGCCCCCTGCTCCAGAGCTCCAGGCCAGCCTTTCCCCTCGGAAACAGCCTTCCCACAAGCACTTTGTCCCTCGTAAAACGGCATTAAAAGAGGCAAAGATCTGCCAGGCTTCAACCCCAGCGCTGACAGAATTCTATGGGACACCATCATGTCATTAAAGGCAGAATAAAAATACCACGAAGGATTAGACTTTTGTCTGGCTTTTTTTTCCCTCTTTCCCTCACCTTTTTTTTTCTAAAATAAATGCATTTATTTGGTTTTTAACAAGTTTGGAACTGAGCAAAACTTTCTGGAAGGGGAAGAGGGAAAAGCAGAGGCGAAAGGAGGCGTTCTCCGGAGCGGCGTGGATGATGTGTCCCATTTCCCCCACCTCCTTATTAAAATACTTTCTGGGGAGGCGAATTCCAGCCTGAAATGAATTTTCCAAACCATATTTTATTAGGAATGTTTCCCTTTAACGGCCGGTACAGGAGCCCACCAGGGTCAATATTTCTCCCAAATTACAGCCGAGGGAGTTGAGAAAGGATTTAGCCAGAATTCCTCTGGCAATTCCCGGCTGTCCAAGGAGAGCACGCTCCCACTGCCCCCCGGCTGCGCAGCAAAGGGGCGAGTAAATCCCAGAAGCACTTTCCCCAAAGCCCCCCTTGGACACGATGGAATAAATTAAAGCCATATTGCCCCTCCAAGCCCCCTTCCAAAGGGCTCTGCAGGCATCCCAGGGAAAGCTCACTCAGAGGGTGAGCTCATCCCAAGCACAGGTTTGAGACAATTATCACTTTTTCCAACAAAACCGTTCCTAGGCCTATTTTTTTCTCTTTCAAGACCCAGCATCCTCACAGTGGGAAGTGGGTGATGATTTCACCGCTGGCTTTGGGACACACACCCAGGAGCCGACCTGGGCTTCCCAATGCAGCACACAGTTTAAGCCTGACTTAACTCGATTAGGAAATCATTCCATCTATCGGATGTGTTATCAGCATCCCTCTGATAACACCAGGAGCCCCAGACTCGCTGGTGGAGAGGGAGCCCACAGCTCCCAGCTGCCCAAAAAGGGCAGGAAAATATTTTCCTTATTTACAGCAATCGCGCTGAGGCTGGCCGGGCCCGGAGCGCCACGCTTGCTCCTCGGATTCATTGGAAAATTCCACTTAGCTATGTTATTTTTAAAGGCTTTAGCTCTCTTTACTCTAAAAACAAGAGTTAAAGCTCAGCAGAATGGGATGGGGGCTGGCACAGCCCCGGCGTTGCCCCAGGAAGGGGCTTGGAAGCCCAAGTACAGTGGCGAAGGGTTTTTATGGATCTATCTGGAAGATAATCCCATTCCAACCAAGAGCATGAGTTCTCCTCCAGCTGGAGCCGGACTTTGCCCAGCACAATCCCCAGACTGGTTTCCTCAGCTGGGTTTGCTGGGAGCGGCCGTGAAGAGGCTCTGCCCGATGCCACGCAGCCGGCAAAGCTTGGAGCTGGGAAAGAAAGCGACGGATCCCAAAGACGGATCCCGGACACGAGGATCCGGGGCTGCTCCACAGGGGCACGGACTGGAGGGATCTGAGTGGGATCACGGCCAGGCCCCGAAAGTCCCCACTGAGGCAAAACACTTCCATGGGTTTTGCCTGTGCATGTCCCGGCAGAGCCATTTCTGGGTGGAAACGCCGACATTCAGGCGCTTCTCACTCTCTCCTGTCCCTGTGGGGATACAGGGATGGGGAAGCACCCACAGGAGCAGCCCCACACGGGATGGCACATTCCCAGAAAGCTGGGTCCAGGGCAGACAACCTCCGAGCTCCAAATCCACAGACAACCGAGAGCAGACAACCCCCAAACTCCGAATTCCCAGAGAATGGAGAGTGGGAAAGCACTGAGCTCCAAAGCGGGGTAGAACTGAGGGTGGCAAAGCACCAAGCTCCAAACTGGGGAGGAAAGGCAACAAGCTCCAAACTGGGGAGAACTGGGGGTGCAAAAGCACCGAGCTCCAAACTGGAGGAGATCTGAGGGCAGACAAACACCAAGATCTAAATTTGGGGAGAACAGAGAGTGGGCAACCAACGAACTCCAAACTGGGAGAAAACTGGAGGCAGACAAATTCAGATCTCTCAGCTGGGGGAAACCAAGGTGGACAACTCCAACCGCTGAATTCAAGGGGAACTGAGAGTGGGCAACCACTGAGAGCCAAACTGGGGGAAAACCAAACCTGAACAACCTCTGAGCTCTGAACTAGGCGTGAACCAAAGGCAGAAACTGCTGAGCCCCAAAAACTGGGAACAGAAAACCACCAAGCTCCCAGCTTGGGAAAACGAAGGAACCCCTCAAGTTCTCTCTGGGCACCCCATCTCCAAGGCCACCACTCCAGGGCTCAGGGGGAAGTCCTGGATTGTCACCCCTGTGCCAGCCAATGGCCACGGCCTCCTCCCAGCTTCCCAGTCCTCAGTAGCTTAAGGAAAACCAGGGAAAAGGAAGGGAAGAGGGGTGACATGGCATCCTCCAGCACCAAGCCGGAGCTGCCTCCACCTCCAGCTGCCTTTTCCCAAATAAAAACTCTATTTTCTGGAAGCAATTTGCCTGCCCCTCACCAAGCTCACGAATCCAGCAGGGCAATTCCTGAGGGAAAAGGCTCTCTCTGCTCCCAGCCAAGTGACACAACTCCCAAAGAAAGGAAAGGAAAAACACACCGAGGAGAACGAAGTGACGGAGCCGCCGTCCCGGCACTGCCCGAGCTGGGGACGCGCAAAGTGTGCCTGCAAAGTTCCTTTTTCCCCACCGAGAAACCAAGCAAATAAACATTTGGTTGGAATACGTGTCCAGGCAGGAAGGTTGTCCAAATTGTTTCAGTTCTTTCCAACCCTCAAAAACTCTTTGGATTATTTTTGGGTTATTTTTTACCTTGAGAAGCGTGGTGGGGGAAAAAAAAATAGCAGCAGGCTAAAAGCAGGAATTTTTTTGAAGGGAGAAAGGAGTAAGATAAATAAACATTCTATGATCTACAAGATAAAGCTGAGCAAGGGCCACCGACCCATCCTGACCACCAGCCCCGGCGTAGGGGCGACCAAACACCCCCACTCCTCCTCCTCCTCGCCCTTCATATTGTTCCTGCACGGCAGCCGCGTCCATATCCAAAGATGTATATAAAAATATATAAATTTATAGAATTTAGGTGGCTCTACAGGCGGAGCAGCCCCACCGCCCGCTTTGTTCGGACCCAGCCCGAGGTGGGGGCGGAACGAATCCCCTCGCTTTCCTCCGCGGCTGATTTCGGATGAGAAAACCCAGAAAAAATAATAACAATCATTTTAAAAAAAGTAATAAATCCAAACGCTGGAGGGAAGCAGCGATCCGGGGGAGGAAAAAAAAAAAAAAACGAGGCGTGAAAAAAGAAAAAAAAAAATTAAAAATCAAGAAACAAAACGTGGTTTTCAAAAACAAAAACGGATTTCAAGAGAGGAAAAGCTGCGAGGAGTAAAAACATAGTTAAAAACGGAGGGGAAAAAAGGGAAGGAGATTTTTGGTTTTTTGGTACGAAAAGCAGCGCGGCGCAGCGGGTCCGTCCTCAGCCGGGGGTCGCTCCGTCCGCCGCCCGCAGCCTCCAGGCGCGATTTTACCTTAAAAACCTCGCTGTTTCCATTAAATCCGCATTTAGGACGCGGTTTCGGTGCCTTTTTCCCCGCGGGGGGTGCGAGGCGCGTCCCTCCCGACCCCCCCCCCTTCTCTCGCCGCACGTACTTGGGGTTCGCGGAGCTCCACGACACCGGCTCCAGGCTCTTGGCGAGCGGCGCGGCGAGGCGGCACAGGGCCAGCAGGACACCCAGCAGCCACCGCCCGCCGCGGGGCCGCGCCATCGTCCCTCGGCGGCGGGACGGGCCGGGCGTCAGGCGCCCATCACGCTCCGCCGCCGCCTCCTCCCGCTCCGCTCCCCACCCGCCGCCTCCGCCCGCCCCGCACCGACTGAGGCGCCGCCCGCCGCGGTAGCCGCTCTACCCCTCCGCGCAGGCAGCGGCGCGGACAGCCCGGACGGGCGGCCAATGGCTGAGCGGAGCGGGGGGGGCCTTGCGGGAGGGCACGCCCATTGTGGGTTCTTAAGGGGAGCGCGGAGGATTTTTACTTTTTTTAATGCCCCCCCCCGCTTGCCCGCCGTTGCTACCGGGTTACCGGGGGGAGGTGAAGAGGCGACAGCGTTGGGGACGAGCTGGCAGAGCGCCGGTATGGGCGCAGCACCGGCCCGGCCCCATCCCCGCCGAGCCCGGCAGCCCCCTCGCTGCGCGCCGCGCTTGGCCTCGCCCTCCCGTTCAGCCGCGATCCTGCAGCGCCCCCCAGCGGACACTGCCGGCCACGCCCGGAGCGGCGGCGGGACCGAAAAATTCCCAAAAATCCCGGGCTGGGAGGGGGTAAAGGCATTCCACCGCTTTGGGGCTGCTTTTCCAGCGGATTGGAGGCTATCTACATTTTTAATTTTAAAAAATTAATTAAGTTTTTCAAATTCTATTTCATTTTATTTTCTCCAGGGTTTTTGTTCTTTTTTCCTCATTTTTTAAAAAAGATTTTCCGCTTCTTCAACCTTTTGGAGGGTCTCTAAAAGTTTAAAAAATACTTTTACTTTTTTCAAAGGGTATTGTAAAGATCTTTCAATATTTTGGGGCTTTTTCAAAAGTTTTTTTAAAATATTTTACTTTTTTGGAATTTTTTGAGCATTTTTCAGTTTTTAATTTTTTTATGTTTTTTAAAAGATTTCTTAATTCTTTTTACTTTTTTGAGGTTTTTTAAGCCATTTCTGACTTTTTTTTACTTTGTTTAAAGATTTTTTTGAAACTTTTAGACATCTTTAAGTGTTTAAAAATATTTTTCCTTTTACCAGTTTTTTTTTAAGATTTGGAGGAGTTTTCACTTTTTTACAGTTTTTAAGTTTTTTCCAATTTTTGATTCTTTAAACTTTTTAATGTAGCTTTCCAGATTTCTGATTTTTTCTTTTTTTCTGAAGGTTTTGCCATTTTTTTCTTTTTAATTCTTTGAAGATTTTTCTTTCAAGGTTTTTACATTTTTTTAAGTCTCTTAAATCTTCTTGATTTTAATTTTTTTTTCCTTTGGTGTTTTTAGTTTTTGGGGTTTTTTTGGGGGGGGGTTAGGTTTGGGAGATTTGGGATGGTTTTCAGGAGGTTTTTTAGATTTTAAATGTTTTTCAAAATCTTCTTGATTTTTTAAGTCTTCTGAACTTTTTTTTCAACTTTTTAATTTTTTTTTTCATTTTCAGAATTGTTTGGAGCTTTTCTTCCTTAATTTCTTTTTTCAACCTATTAAAAATTTCTTCTATTTTTGAGGGCTTTTGAGGTTCTTTTAAAATTTTATTTAAAGTGGGGGTTTTATTTCTGTGGCAATTTTTTAATGCATTCTGGACTTTTTGGAGTTTTTATAATTTTTGATTGTTTTTTATTTGGGCCATGAGGAGGGAGGAGCCAAAATCCAGAATTAATTTGCTTCCTGTTAAGAAAATCTTTGGAGTCATTTCACTTTCTATTACAAGAGCAATAATAAACCCCTTTGGAGTTGGTTTAATTTCTATTAATAAAATAAAAACAAAATAAAATAAAACCCCCTCCTGAGTCTGTTCACTTTTTATTAAGGAAATTTTTTAAAAAACCCTCAAGTCAGTTCCTTTCTGTAACAAAAATAAACCAACAAATTTTGGCATCACTTTCATTTGTGTTGAGAAAATTGAAAAACAAACAAAAAAGTCACTCTAGAGTACAAAAATAAACCAAACCCCCCCCGAGTCCCTTCGGTTTTTATTAAAATAATTCAAATTAAAGCTCAAAAATTAAAAAAAAAAATGGCAGAGTCAGTTCTATTTCTATTGAGAAAATAATAAAAAAAAAATTATACAATCGGGGTCAAATTGGCTCCATATTACCAAAATTTATGAAAATTGGAGGGTTAAGTGTGATTTTTCCATCTTTTCTGTGAAAACCCCAAGCTAGGGGTGGCACATGGGGTGTGGGGCTCCCTGGGCACAGGGAGCAGCGGGATTTGGGCTCTTGGAGCCATCCCGATCCAAAGGAGAGGGAAACACCTGAGGAATGACAAAAACATCCAAAAATGTGATTTTTTTTCAATATTTTTGAGCACCTGGTTATGTCCTGGGAGAGGGGCCTTGGATCCCTGCTTGCTCCCTGCCCTCTCCCTAACGGTTCCCTGCCCATTCCTTCTTTCCCTGCCCATTCCCTGCCCTTTCCCTGCCCATTCCTTTCTTCCCTGCACATTTCTGGCTCTCCCTGCCCATTCCCTGTCCATTCCGTGCCAGTTTCGTGCCCATTCCCTGCCCATTCCCTGCCCTTTCCTTGCCCATTCCTTTCTTCCCTGCCCATTTCTGGCTCTCTCTGCCCATTCCCTGCCTATTCCTTCTCTCCCTGCTTGTTCCTGGCTCTCCCTGCCCATTTCCTGCCCATTCCCTGCCCGTTCCCTGCCCATTCCCGCTCTCCCTGCCCGTTCCCTGCCCGTTCCCGGTTCCCTGCCCCATTCCCTGCTCGTTCCCGGTTCCCTGCCCCATTCCCTGCCCCATTCCCCGCCAGTTCCCTGCCCATTCCCGCTCTCCCTGTCCGTTCCCTGCCCCGTTCCCTGCTCGTTCCCGGTTCCCTGCCCCATTCCCTGCCCGTTCCCTGCCCATTCCCGCTCTCCCTGCCCCATTCCCTGCCCCGTTCCCTGCTCGTTCCCCATTCCCTGCCCCATTCCCTGCCCGTTCCCCGCCCGTTCCCGCTCTCCCTGCCCGTTCCCTGCCCCGTTCCCTGCCCGTTCCCCGCCCGTTCCCGCTCTCCCTGCCCGTTCCCTGCCCCGTTCCCTGCCCGTTCCCCGCCCGTTCCCGCTCTCCTGCCCCTCCATCCCCGCGCTGGCAGCAGCCCCCGTTGCCATGGCGATGCCGCTCTCCCGGCTCCGGCTCAGGTGGGGCTCGGGAGCCCGGGAATCCTTTAGAAAGGAGGAGGAGGACGATCCCCAACCCCACCCTGGCCAGGAGGGCACAGGATCCCTCCAGGATCCCTTTGGGAACACTTTGGGGTCAGACCCCGTGGGCTCACCCCAGTGGGGGATGTGGATCCTTGGGATGGGGGAAGGAGCAGGTGAGGCAGGCACAGCTGAGCCAGGCAGGAGCTTCCAAAGGTCACCTCTTCATGGAGAGTTCCACACCTGGCACAGCCACACCTGGCACACCAGGAAAATACAGGATTGTGGCCTCTGCCCTTCCTGGAATGTGCCAGGGACACCAAAGCAAACACTTCAAGGTGGGAGAGGCCCCATGGAACTGGAGCAGGGCTCACCCAGGGCAGTGGGACACCTTGGAGGGGTGGCAGAGTGGGAAAACTCCTTCCCAGCCCTCCTGGTGCTGTCCCAGCAGGAAACACCTGCCCAGGGAAGCGGAGCACCCGATTTTCCCACCCAGCCACGGGAAGGAATCAGTGGCAAACAACCAGGGCGATTCCTTGGATGGGTCAGGGATAAAAAAACCCAATAAATTAAATGGGAAATGGTTCCCTGCCTCAGGTGCACCCCTGACACCGGGATCTGGGCTCCAGGTGGGAGAAGGAAGGGAACCAATATCCTGGGGGGCTCTGAGCAGGTCCAGGGCACCACAAACCCCATCCATGCCCAAAATCCCAGGCACGGTGGATGATCCTTGTGCTTCCACAAGGAGTTACTGGGATTTCCACCTCCCTTCCCTTTTCCTGAGGCTGCCATGGACATTCCCATGTGGATGTCACGAGTTTTGGGGGACTCAGCTCCCCTACAGCTCCATCCTGGGGTGCTGCTCCAGGCTCCCGTTCCATGAGGGATCCAAGAGCCACCCACAGACCTGGTGCTCCCCCAGAGTCCTCACCTGCAAATGGTGAGGGACAAGAAAGGACATTGTTGAATTCCCAAATTCTTCACCTTTTCGGGGGCCCAGGAGCTGCCTCGTCCCCAATCCATGCCCCCTTCCCACAATTCCTGCTGTGCCCTTCCCACATCCTATGGATTCTGGACTCTTGGCTTCCCTCTCCTCTCTCTTCACCTTGAAACCTCATTAAAACATTTTTGGGTGTCATCTGGGTGATTTTCCCCCTACCTGCTCCATTCTAAAAGGACTGGACCGGTGACACCCGGCATCATTCCCAAAATTCCCGGCTCTCCCACCTCCCTCCCTGCTGGCAGAGTCTCTCCGAGCCCAATCAGCCCCTCATCAAGTGATGAGCTGCAGCCCAATGTATTCCACAGCCACTTCACATTTAAATTACCTGAGAAAAATTTCTGAGCTAAAAAAACAAAAAAAAGAGAAATGGGATAAAACAGAGAGAAAGAAAAAAAAAAAAAAAAGAAAGAAAAAGAAAGATTCGGCTGAACACCAGGAAAAAGTGCTTAGTGCAGAAATCCAGGGGATGGTTCCCCCAGGAAAGCGCTGGAGTTATTTAAAACTCACCTAAATAAAACATCGGTGGGGAATAAACTTCTCTCATCCCACAGGCACCGTGGGACCAGGGAGATATTCCCCCTAAGTGTTTTTTAGGATGAAAGGGATGAGATCCCACCGGGCTGGCACGTGGATCCCAACAGCCCGGCAGAGGCACAGCCCCTCTCCCTGGAAAGTGCTTTTCCAAGGAGCCCTGCAGAGATGGCACCAAAATTCGTGATTAACCCAAATTTCTATAAAACAAAAAGCAAAAACAGAACAAAACAGAAAGAAACAACAACAAAACCACAACAAAAAACAAAACAAATGACAAAAACCTAACAAAAAACAAACCACCAAAAAACCCCACAAAAACCAAACCAAACCAAAAAAAAAGAAAAAAAGATTTTTTGTTTTTTTTTTCTGGGATGCATGG